GGCTGCGTGCCCGCCGTGCCCACCCTGGCCTGGCCGCCGGCACGCGGCCGTCGCGGCCCGGTGGCTGTGGCGCTGGCTGTCCCCCGGCCTCCCCGAAGCCCCTAATCCATCTCTCGCAGCAGGAGATGCCTAAGCTGCCTTTTCATGCCGGATCCTCCGCGCGCGGGCTCGCGCGCTCTCAATGCCGGCGCTGGCAGGAGATGTGTCCGACAAGCTGAGGGGATCCTCCCCCGCCAGCAAGGTCAAGGTGTGCTTAAGCCACTTTCCCCGCGCCCGCCCCGGTGGGCTCCGTGCCCCGTCGGCACCGGGGATGGCTTTGGGGGACAGCACAGCTTTGGGGTCTCGCCACCCTGAGGGATCCAGGCAGGCAGACCCGTGTTGTGGGGGGTCTCATCCCCCAGCTTGTCACAGCCAGTCTCGGGGTCACCCACCAGCCCCCCGATCCCAGCTGGGGACCCTCTGTGGTCTTTGGCTAAAGCTGTGCCCAGTGCCAACCAGGCTGCTCCCAGGGCAGGGGCACCCCAGGGCTTGGCTCACCCCAAACAGCCCAGGGCTCATCTCTGCCCCCAGCCCCCCTGGGCAGTGCTGCTCACAGACCCCTCCCACACACGGAGCCATTGCAGACCATCAGACCAGTTCAGACCAGTACAAACCAGGCCTGAGCACTTCTCTCCTTAGCCCACAGGGTAGGGAGCACACGTGTGTGTGTGTGTGTGTGTGTGTGTGTGTGTGTGTGTGTGGAGCACACGTGTGTGTGTGTGTCTGTGTCTGTGTGTGTCTGTGTGTGTCTGTGTGTCTGTGTGTGTGAGCACTCGTGTGCCCGCTCATGCCCAGGCTTGCAGAGGCCCATGCCCAGGACCCCGTGTCACTGCTGTTCCCTTGGTGACAGACCCCCGTCCTCTGCTGGCACCTCGCGCCTGCCGCCAGCCAGGGCCTTTGTGCCTGGTTTTAATTAGAGGCTCTTAAGTGTGAAACAAAGCCAAGGGCAGGGCCGGGGGGCCCTTCCCTTCCTCTGTGCTGCTGGGGGACCCCCGAGGTCCCCATCCTGCCCGGCATCGCCTGCCACAGCCCCTCCATTCCCCATTTCTGCTTTGCCATCCTGTGTGCCCATCCCCAAGGGACACTTACTGCAAACTGGTGCTGCCTGTGCCCCCTGGAAGTCCTGCCCTTCCGAGTGGCGCTGGCCACCACTGCATGGCCAGCACCAGCCCTGCAGGGGCCATGCACAGGGCCTGGGCCAGATGCGGTGCCACCCGAAGTGTCACCCCCAGGGTACCTGTCCTCAGGCAGGAGGCTCAGAAAGAGGCCACCAGCCTGTGGCTGGGCTAGGGTGCTGCTGGAGGGGATATGGGTGTTCCCAGCTGTGTCCCACATCCCTGGCTTTGATGGGTGCAGGGGGGACCCCAAAGGCATCCTGGCACCTCATGGTGCTGGAATCCCAGGAAGGGGGGCTGCATGGGCACCATGTCCTGCTCCACGAGGGACACAGGAGCCACCAGAGTTTTGGAGGTGGTGGTACCCATGGGCCTCCCCCTGGGGACCCTTGGGTGCTGGGAGCAGGGGACTGGCAACACTGAGTGCCCACCAGCATCCCCCAGTGCTGTACTGGGATGAAGTGAGAGTAGAGCAGTGGGAGGATTGGGACTCCTGGGTGCCCCCCACCCCGAGCAGCTCTGTGAGGACACGAAGGGGAGCTGGGGGGAAGAGCTGGGTTTGGCCCCACACTCCCAGTAAAGCCCAGTTTGGGCAGCACCCACCCTCTGCCACTGCGTGCAAGGGTTGGTCCTTGTCTTCACAGAGTTCCCTCCACCTAGGACACCAACCCCAGACCCCCCTGGGAAGTTTTGGGGAGGGGGCAGCACCCTCTACTGCCCCTCATGCCCCTGGCAGGGCCTGGGGATGGGGCTGAGAGCCTGGTGACAGGGACGAGTGATATCAACAGGATTCCCTGGCCACCCTGAATGTCCCTGTGAGGGGACGCCCCTGAGCAGGCAGAACCCCACTGGCTGCTTCCCTGGGGTGTCCCCTGACACCCCCAGTCCACCCAGGGGGTCCTCTCAGGGTCTGCTCTGGGTTTTGCCCTCCCCAGGAGGGCTCGGCACCCACTCAGGGTGGAGCCATGTCCCAGTGTGTCCCTGGAGGCTCTGGGGACCCTTGTCCTGAGCCACCAGCACCCAGGAGGACAGAGAGCATGGGGAGAGCCTCTGCAACCCCTTCTGGAACTGAAACCCCCCATCTCCAGAAAGAATCCAAAATCTGAAGCGTTTAGGAAGCCAAGATCCACGTGGCTGTGCAGACACCCGTGTACCCCTCCGTCCCTGTCGCTGTGGGCCTGGGGGACACGGTGGGGGTCACCCAAGCAGACCGTGCCGCCACAGGGCCGAGAGGAGCTGCGGCCAGGGCAGCCGCCCGGCCTTCCCTCTGCAGCCGGGGAGCGGGAAAGGGAGCGGGAAAGGGAGCGGGAGGCAGCCCCAGGGCTAAGGAGGGTGCACTCCCGGGCTCCGGGCTCCGCGCTCGGCCCCGCCGCCGGCGCCGTGCCAGCCTCTCCGCCGCCTCCCGCCCGGGACCACCGGACACCCACCGGCCCCGGCCGTGCCCAAAGGCAGCACCCCTGGGTGCCCCACCGGGGCCAGCCGGGCCTGGCCGCCATCCCGCCGCCTCAGCCCAGCAGCCCCGGAGGCTCCGCCGTCCCCGGGAGCGGGGAGAGCCCCGCCGGGACACCCGGCACGTCCGGCCGGCGGGGAGGGGGCCCGCAGCATCGTGTGTCCCGTCTTTCCCCCCCAGGCTTTGATTTTGGAGCCCCCCCTGCCCTTCCCCCTCGGCCAGGAGCCGCAATGGTTTCAATTACGCTGTGAAAGGCGGTGGGGCCCCCTCTTTTCACGACAGCCCGGGTCTCCTGCTCACAACAAAAGCTTAAGTTACAGGAAAGGGAGAGAAAGGGAGGGAGGACGCGCAGGGAGGGAGGGAAGGGGGCTGCCAGAAGCCCCCAGCCCCCCAAAACGGAGCGGACAAGGGCAGGGGGCTCCCCACCACAGCCCCCTCGGCTGCCCCTCATCCCCCAGCCCCCCAAAACGGAGCAGACAGGGGCAGAGGCTCCCCACCACAGCCCCCCAGGGAAAGGGGGGGAAAGGCAGCCCCTTGCCTTGCGAAAGGCAGCCCCCCATTCTAGTGCAGAAATTTGGGGTGATCACCTACAGTCTCGTTCCCTGAAAAGGGAACTCCAGCGGGTCCCAGTCTCTCTAAGTCTCCCCAGTGTGTCCCGGTGTCCCCATTGTGTGCTTGACTCCCCAGTGTGTCCCATAACTCCCCTGTGTTTGACCTCCCCGTGTCCCAACACTCTCAGTGTGTCTTAGATGCCCCCAGCATGTCCTGGATCCCCCTGCTGTGTCCCAGTGTCCCCCCACAGGGTGTTCCAGTGTTTCCCCAGTGTGTTCCACTCCCCCTTGTGTGTCCCAGATCCCCCCAGCATGCTCTGGATCCTCCCAGTGTGTCCTGGTTCTCTCCAGGCATATCCCTGTCCACCTCTGCCCTGTCCAAGCCCCTCCCAGTGTGTCCCAGTTCTCCCCAGTGTGTCCCAGTCCCCCAGGCCTCTCCCACTGCCCTGTTTTTGGGGACAGAGGTTCCCTTCAGCACAACCCCCCAGTTGGGGTGGGAGGTGTGGGATTGTAGGGTGGGGGGGGAGAGGCAGGCTGCAGGATGTTTCCCACCTCCCCCCACTGTTTTGGGGACACCCCTGGCTGTGCAGTGGCCTTTTGGGGGTGCAGCACCCCGGGGTGGCAATGGGCAGCCCATGGGGTGGTGGCACTGCCTGGCCGACGTCTGGGGACAAGGGATGTTGGGGACAATACACCCTGTTGTGGAGGTCTCCAGTGGCATGGGAGCTGATTCTGCTCCACTGCACCCCAAAGTCGACCTGGGGACAGTGGGGACACCTTGCAGCACGTCAGGGGGAATGTGGGTCTCAGGCTGGGGGGAGCAGCCCCAAAGGTGGGGGGTTAGGGGACATGAGCAGTGCAGAGGGCACAAGGGGGACACAGGAGAAACAGAGGGGGCATGGAGGGAGTGCTGAGGCCACAGCAGGGCCAGAGCACACAGCAGGGGACACAGGGGACACAGGGGAGTGCAGAGCACTCGCGGGGCACAGGGGACAGGGAAGGGGCACAGGACAGAGGTACAGTGACCACAGTGGTTGTCAGGAGACACGGTGGAGAAGTAGGGGACACAGGGGGACAGCAGGGCACACAGAGGAGGCGCAGGGGACACGGGGGGACACAGGACAGCAGGGCACACGGAGGGGGCGCAGGGGACACGGGGCACAGGGGACACAGGGGACACAGGCACACGGGGCACAGGAGACACAGGCACACGGGGCGCAGGGGACACAGGGGACACGGGCACACGGAGCACAGGGGGCACAGGGGACACGGGCACACGGGGCACAGGGGACACGGGCACACGGCAGCCCCGCTCCCCGCGGCCCCGGCCCGACCCCGCCCGCGGGGGGAGTTCGCACGGCTCGGAAAAACTTTGGGGGGGGGCGGTGACCCCCGG